TGCGGAAGTGAGGGCCTGCAGACAGGTGATGGATTGTGAGAACCATTAGGGGCCCAGAGACACACAGGCCCCTCAGCACTGCAGTAGAAATTACCAGTTGGACAAGCATTTGATATAATTCCTAACTTCTAGTATGTCTGAGCCAAGACTTTGTGGAAGAGGCAGAAGCATGACCAGCTGCTCTCCTCAGATCTGTCCACATGGCTCGGATCCCAGCGCTGCCCTGCTCTGCCTCCCCAAAGGGGTGGAGAGGAAGCCTGGTCTGGAATATGCCTCTGACAGAGGTACGCTTGTCTAGCCAGTTGTCAAGGTAGGACCACAGTATCAGCCGGCGTTCTCTGAGACATGATTGTCAGCCAGTACAATTGCTTTTGTGCTCCAGGTGAAGCATGCCTGAACCCACGAAGTCTTGGAGACCTCTCATCAGTTTTAGCTCTGAATCTCCTATCCTCCAGCTGCACACCCTTGTGAGTTCCCCAGCATGGTGCGAAGCCCTCCAGGACAGGACACTCCACACACCATTGTTTCCAGAGCTGTTTCTCACATTTGGTCATCTCTCTAGAGTCAGAAGAAGGCCTGGCCCCTGCAGGGAGAACTTGGATCCATCACGCGAGACTGGGGATAGGTATAGGGTTGAAAAGGGTGTGCGAAGCATAGGGTCCAGTGGTACTCACAAATGCCTGCATTCATTCAGGCATTCACCCATTCATTCAACTGCTACTATCTATCTGCCTGCCTAACACTGGGGATGTCACTGAAGGATAAGGCAAGTGACACCGCCACACATACATTGAAAGAGTACATGGGGTAATGGGGTGTGGGCAGCAACTGCAGGAGCACACTGAAGGTGCATATAACTGGGACTTGGACTAGCAGGGAAAGATTCCTGGGAAAATGACATCTCTCTAGACCTGAAGGATTCAGTGAGAGACAAGAAAGTTAGGGCAGAGGGTATAGTCTTATGAAGTCAGACCACAAGCCTTTTGTAAAAAAGTCACTGTACTGGTCTGAATCTCAGCTGCTGCATCAGTAAAATGGGGTACTAATACTTGCATTACTGGGTTGTTGTGAAATCTTAATGAAATAATATACATTAAATGTATATTAGGAGTTTTTTTCTGTTCCGGAGGTTGAACCCAGGGCCTTGTGAATACTAGGTTAGTGCTCTACTACTGAGCTACATCCCTAGTCCTAGCAAAGGCCAGCATGTCAGATGAGTGAACAGGTGATCCTTGACTCTTGGGAATAGAGACAGCCCTAGAAATTAAATCCATAGGTTTAATTTGCTTTGAATAAAAATAGCAATACAATTCTGTTTTTTCTTTGTGTGTGTGTGCATATGCGTGTGTGTGTGTGTTGTGCGTATGTGTGAAGGTTCAATTTCACACACTATCCATTCTCCCTCTGTAAATTGAAAGAAATTAAACATATTTCCAATTCTTTGTGTTCAGCCACTAATGAAAGCTGACCCAAGAAAATAGTTTATTCTAAGAGTCAGACAGTTAGATTTGAGTATTGCTATTTGACAGATTAAAAGATTTCCTAAAACTTCACTCAAGGATGTTGGGATGCACCGAAGGAATCAGACCTAGGATACGTGGAGAAAAGCCAGTGCTGGTCATTTTACCCGCTGTCTCCTTTCAGCAGCTGATAACAGATCTTTTGATAAGAGGAGAAGTCTTAGGTTAAGGTGCATTGCTGGGCAGGACTCAGCAGCTCAGAGCTACTCCAGCAGGAGCAGTGCCCAAGTCCCCACCTAAACCACAATGCAGTTAGGAAACTGAGAAATCAAACACTTCCTGAACCAGCAGACTGGGGACACACAGCAAGGCACATTTCCGATACAATCTCAGCTGGGTATAGTGGTCCTGCCTACAAGCCCAGTACTTTGTAAAGCCGAGGCAGGAGGATCAAAAGCTCAAGTCCTGCTTGGGCAGATTGGTGAGATCTTGTCTCAAAAACAAAACAAAACAAAACAAAACAAAACAAAAACCAGGCTGAAATATAATTCAATAGTAGAGCAACCCTGAAAAACAAATAAGCAAGCAAGTGAATAATCTCATAATCCTGCACTTGGACTGGTGTGTTTACAATGAGATAGTTTATCCACTTAATCATAATATCAACTTTTTGAGTCAAATAGTCACTGTTTAGTTTGTGATAGTTCATTTGTCTTTGTCCTGCCTAAGGAGGCTCAGAGGGCAGCAACAGGCCTAAGTTAATCACTGTAGGACTTACAAAGCTAGCTGCACAGTTGGAACTCTATAACGATTTATTGAATGAGTTACACTTCATTAGGCTATATGGGACTAACCTCTATTGCATATTATGGTGTTTTCACATGTTTCTTTCCCACCCAATAGAATCCTGAATATAAATGTGATATTCTCACAGTATCATTCAAAAATACTCTGTCTTAGGATGCTGACATCATCTAGGGATCCCTGATTTGTGTGCAAGTTGCATATTGGTGTATTTCTGAATATGACCGCATAAAGTCCGCTCAGGTGCCAGAATATTTTGTAGCTCTGTAGACCACCGAACCCTCAACTCAGGCGTTCTACCTTCAAAGTGGGCATGAATGTAATTCCTATTTCACTACAGGGTTGTAGTAGTCACTGAAATCTGCCTCCCTGAATGACAAATGGTACTCGATTGTACTGGATACAGTTTAGGAAACTGAAGAATGAAAAATGATTAATATCCACAGCAACAATGCTAAAATGCAAAGCTTAATGTTCCTCATAAGCAAACACGTTTAATGTCTACTTAACACATAGTAGACATTAAACCCATACTTTGAAACCCAGGTTTCTCTCTTTTAAAAATAAGACTGCACTTTCTCAAAACATTTTAGGAATGGCGAGCCTTCACCAGGAAGGGCTCTTCTTGCACAGAGTCTCTGTGCAAGAGAGATGGTAATTTTAAATTATCATTCCCTCTCAATTTTGAAACTTGTTTCTGCATTTGGAACAGTTCAGCCTCACAGTGTTGCTTACCCCTGCGAAGGACAGGACCACGAGGCAGGAGCGGGGGCCTGGCCCGGCCCGGCACACTCACAGGTGCTTTTGTTTGTCTTTATTTGAGAAGACTCATGTTGTATTAAAGCAATATTAGGATATTCTAATTTGAATTTCAAAGGGAACAAAGAGAGAATAGGACAGAAGTTTGGCGCGTGAGGGCTATGAAGTGGTGACAGTGTCCTCTGGTCTCTTTGTAGTTGTACCCTGGCAGGGCCATTGGGCATTGTCCAGATGGAGCCTGCTTTAGTGACTAGCTTGAATACACAGAGTCCTGCCCAAAAGAAAGTGTACCTAATAGACAGTGAGTGCGAGCTGCCTTGCTCTGTGTACTTGTTTTGATAGCAGGTTTTTCCCCCTCGTTTGGAAAAATGCTTTATTGGGAAACTGAATCTGAAGCTGACTGTACCAGAGCCCACACAATGCGTTTTGGAACAGGCCCAACCCGGAAGATACACCCAGACACGTGGACTGTTACAGAAGAGGGCTGGATTCTGTTTGCAAGCTGGTTCCACCATTTTCCAAATACCCTGTACTCCTGGGATTATTTTTAATTGTGCTTCCTTGTAAAGATTTAATCTATTTCATGCCTCATTAGTTATTAGTTCTATAAAGCTTTGAATGGCTGAACAATCTTTAAACATCAAAAATTGATTTTTAGGCAAACCAAAAATTGAACAATTTTTCTCAAAAGTATTCTCCCTCAATTTTAATAACATATCCATTGTTAAAAGAAAAAGAGCATCAAATTCCAGCAGTTATGCAGCGTGTGTGTGTGCACGTGTGTGTGCGTGTGCGCACGCGCGTGTGCGTGTGCATGCATGCGTATTATCAACCAATTTTGTGAAAGCTCTACTGACTGTCAAATTTCCTACTATTATCAAATTTAATTAAAAATTCTTTCCAACTCTCCTTAAAAGACAGGATCCAAACTAGGGATTCTGGCAATAGTAGCGGGATTGTTATAGCTACACATACTGGTGTTTATTTATAGCAATTTACTCCATTAAAAGTAGGTTCAGAAGACAAAAGTTTTTAATTTATAAGCTAAGCAGCTGCTTATAGCTAAGCGATTTCTTCTTTAATGGACCTTTACAATTAATTGCATGTGGAGAAAGATCACGATTTGCTTACAAATTTGGTTAGGTAACAGGTCCCAAAACAGGAGCACACTGCTCAAACCCTCATGGCAGGCAGCAGCCTGCATGCTGCACCAAGGAGTGTGCCACATGCTGCTACCAGGGCACCATGAAAGTATGCGATCAGGATTCAATTCGCCGCAACTCCTGGCTTGATCTATCCAGGCTTCCCAGGCCTCCTGCCACACGCTCTTCATCAGAGCCACTGCCAGCTCCCGCCCTTAGCACTGTGCTCATTTCCAGCTGGGGTAGACAGATTGGTGATCAGCCAAGGAAAGTGGACACCACCGGTGGAAGAAGATAAGCTCACAAAAAGTCCACTCCAAATTAAAGGCGCTCTCTCTCTGCTCTGTTCCAGGCCTGGTGCCTCTGCCTGGGCACCCCCGGCTGCCAGGCCTGACAGCTCGAGAGTCAGACGCCACAAAGACCCAACTCAGCAGATTGGGGCCCCCAGTACCTTTGGGAAGAACAGAGACCAAACTCCATCTCCTCAATGACTATGGCCTCTTTGCCTATCACAGAGATATTTTCTCAGGAAAAACAAGCGGGAGTGGAGCTGAGGGCCTTCCCATCTCTTTAAGGAGGAGCCCTCTAGAGAGCAGACCGGAAAACCCAGACGGGCTGGATGTAGAGTTGGAGTAAGTTCGCAGCAGGCCACCAGCTGAGTTGTCACTCAGCGGAGTTGTCACTCAGCGCAGCTCCCTATGCCCAAGGCAAGACTTTGCGCTCCCTCCTGTGGCACTAATGGTTGTGGTGCCAACAGAAGCCAAGGGGCTGTCAGCAGGCAGAATCTGTGGCCTGAGCTCAGCACCTCCGCGCCCAGCACCCTGGCCAGCCTCTTTCAAACTTCGGTTCCTTCCAAGCTGTAGACAAAATGACTCACGCGAAAGCTGGTGGCCGCAGTCTGATGGCCCGGGGTAAAGGTGGGCGCAGAGCCGGGGGTCTGGGGGCTTCGGGCCCCTACGGTCGTTGGCCTCCCAAAAGAAAAGTCGCGCGTCAAGCTCCCAGAAAAGTTGCCAAAGCTGCTGGCCAGGGCCCCCATGGCCGAGGAAAAGCTGGAGAAGCAGGTGGCAGCCCCGGGCTCGGGCGAGCAATGCAGGTCTGCGGAGGCTGTGCCCCTGGGCTCCAGCTTCGGAGTTTCGGCTCCGCCTGGTCTGTGGGCTTCTGGAGGTAAAGCCGTGCTCGCTTCCCCTCTTCGTTTCCTCTTCCTTCGAAAGTTCCCGTTGTCAAACATCTTCTCGCAGTTGGGGTCTAAGGTCCAATAATTGCCTTTACCTGCAGAGAAAGAGCCCAGTACCCCCAGTTTAGAAAGCCCAGTACTGGCAGACCACAGCGTGCCTGGAGATCGGCTCTAACCTGCCCCTCCAAGACAGCCAAGACCCCCTATTCCCTTCTCACATATTGAGGGGGCGCTTTGTCCCCGGGATGGGCCTCCGAGAATGGCAGGAGGATTGGGACTTTCCAGTGGGACCAAGGCAGGGACTCCAACGGAGCCCCGCTAAGTTTGAGCCCCAGGGAAAGGTCTTCACTATTGTACAAGAAAGTGAGTGCTTCGAGACTCAGAGTCAAGTCCCCAGGTTTCCCAGCTGGCCAGCTCTCCAGCTTTTTTCCCCCCCGCATATAAGTGCGCATAATTTTAGAGCCCCTGAGAGCACTGGCCCGCAAATCCAGATTCTCGGCTTCCGCCGCCTTGTGCGCCTCCGCCCTCTAGTTCCCCGCCCAAGTGGCTCCGACCGCGCCGAGGCACTGAGTTGTCCAAGATCGATCACAGCCTAAGGTGCCCGCGGCGGGAAGCCCGGGTGTCCCAGAATGGGCGAGAGCCCTCAGCAGTTACCTGGGTCGCTCTCATCGCGTGGCACCTTCTTGAAGCAGTCGTTGAGAGACAGGTTGTGGCGAATGGAGTTCTGCCAGCCCGCCTTGCTGCGCTTGTAGAAAGGGAAGTTGCCGGCTACGTACTGGTAGATTTGGCTGAGGGTCAGCTTTCGCAGGGGCGCGCTCTGGATGGCCATGGCTATGAGCGCGGAGTAGGAGTAGGGCGGTCGCACCAGCCTCAGCAACTCCTGCTGGCCGGAGAGGGCCAGCCACGTGAGGTCCGTGCCCGCCAGCCCACCCGTGGCTCCGAGGAGCTGGCCCGGGGCCCCATAGCCCGGCGCCGCATAGGACGGAGGGGTCCCCGGGCCCGAAGCGTAGGGCGCAGGGCTGAGCGCGGGAGCCTTCATCCACAGGCTCAGGCCTCCGCCCGAAGCGCCCTGGTCCCCTCGCACGTAACCTGGTGAGTGCGCGACGGACCGTGTCTGGCCCTGTGGGCCGGAGCAGGCGCCTAGACCCTCACAATACGCTGCCATGTCCAGCTGCTCCCGGGTCTGGGCTGGGTGCTCTGTACTGAAACTCATGGGTGCTCCATGCCCAGGGCCGCCCACAGCAAAAGGTGCGCTCAGCCCCGCCCCGCGTTCCCCTTTAAAGCTTTTGGACTAAGCTTTAGTTGTCAGCAGAGAGCCTCCTCCCTGCCAGGTTTGAGGGCCAAAGAGTGTCCCCGCCCCGGGGTCAGCTTTCACCCTACCGATGCACAGCCTCTGAAAGTCCCCCTCCCAGGGTAGGTCTGGTTAGGTCTAGGCTCCCTGTCAGTGTTGCCTTTAGCTGCAGGGGTCCTGGGTCCCAGGAATCTCACAGATCCTCAGCTTCCTCCTGCTTCTTCGGCTCTGCTGCTCCAGCTGTTCCCAAAGGCCCCCATGGTTTGGCTTGGGATTCCCATCCAGTGAGGTCTCCCCTTTCAGCTTTCCCCAGCAAGCCTCAGCCAGCCCCATATCTGCCTCACTGAGGCCTCTTTGCCACCCCACAGGGTGGCACAGGAGTGAAAAAGGAGGGGTAGATTCTTCTGGTTCTCTGGGGACAGGCTGGATGCAAGGACATCTTTGTGGTGCTCCGGACCCCATCCAGTCTTTCCTTTCTGTGCTCGTTGCTGTGGTTGTTCTACAGGCTTGCCTATAGCCCCAGCCTCTGGGTTTCTCTGGTTTCCACATTTTCCCTGCTAAGCAGCTGTCTTTGATGTCCTGGATCCTATTGCTGCAGGCAGTACAAGGAGGATCCATCTCAAAGTGACAGAAACATAGGCTGAAAGCTGGGCTAGCTGCAGTATGTGGGCAGAGAGCTGGCATCAGAACTCTGAGCCTGGGCTACTTTAGCAACCAGGAAACTTTGCTTGCCTGGCTATCTGAGATTTGGAGACAGGCTCTATCCCTGCTGACATCCCCTGCAGTATTAAAGACAGGCTGGTGGAGTCTGGGCCTTCTCCATTGTTTCATGGGTCTGTGGAACCTTACAGCAAATTAATTTATATTCATTAAAAAGCCAAATGTCCAGTGCTCCCTGACTTTTGGCAGAGGAGGTATCGCTAGAGGGTTCAGGGCAGTCATGGGATTGAGGAAAGAGCCTAGGTTTGGGCATTAAGTGTGCCAGTTTGAGCCAGGCATTCACTGGAAGTGTAGCTTTGACTTCTCCAGATTGTAATAATAATATATGAAACTATCAATTTATGAAACCATGGAACAAAAGGCAGAAAGAAACAAGGAGACCTCTACTGTGATATATAGGCTTTTCCATGTAGAATCCTGCAGGAAGTGGTAGGTAAACTCAAGATAGTTCCCAACCAATGGCCGGAAAGAGATGCCTGGAACTTGTTCATTGAGGTGGGCTCTTCAGGCATACCATAACCATCTTCCTAGGTTCCCCCTTCCCCAGACATTTCTAATTGTTGTCAGAGCAGGACTGGCATGGGAATCTTGGGTGCATTTCAGGGCTCCCTCCCCTTCATTGCAGAGACAAGCACAGAGGGGATGGGAAGCACTCCAGATGGGTGGCTCTCCTAGTTTCTCAGGTGACATCACCCTAGGGCTTCTGTCGAAACGGCAGCCAAGGCCACCTGCCTTTCGGTTCCAGTTTCCAAGGTGTCTCCCAAATGTAAACACCCTCTGCTCTCTCTAGCTATGAGAAGCATTTTAGTGACTAACCTCCAGTAAATGTGGTTGCAGACTTGTGATCATTAAGGTGCTCACTGGGTGTCGTCAGATAGAAGTGCTGGCTTTCCTCCTACAGCAGTAGCTCTTCTTGAGTTGTTCCACTTCTCTGGTGTTTTCCCTAAGAGCTGGGATTTGGCATGTTTTAGGGGATCCCTTCTACAAGACTGTGCCTCATGAGGGTGGAACATCACAGAAGCTGCATGGCTCTGCCCGGATCCCAGTAATCTCAAAGTGAGAAGACGGGAGTTGTGGTCAGGAGTGGGGCTGCAGGAATCCACAACAACTCAGCTAGCCTTTCCTTCCTCCCTTCAAACAGCTGACAAAGAGTAGCTAGCAAACTGTTGCTTTTTGAGGTAAGTTTTGGTTCCCCAAGGCTTTGGATGTAGAAGGAAGTTGTTTTAGTGGAGAAACACAATGACTCGAGAGGAAGATTTATTTTGTCCAAAATATGTGCAAGATTGTTTCTAGAGAACGCTTCCTGGTCCTGTCTTTGTCCAGAAAGCTTATATTTGTAATCCCATGGATAATTTATAGGAATCCTATCAAGGTAATTTCAATCTACCACTTCCAGAGCAACCCATGGTAAGAATAAAGACACTAACACATATTTAATAGTTATGGGGAGCCAAGAGATCCTAAGTTCAGCCATGGTGATGGATATCCAGAACAAAGGCCTGGACACAGGGTACAACCTGGGTTTTATTCAGTCATGAAGGAGGAGTGGCTTGAGGATGAACGGCTGAGAATGGCAGGAAGTAGGTGAGTACTGTGAGCTGAACTAGACTGGAAGCTTGTATTTACCTCTGCAGAATGCAGAGAGTAATCTGCATTACGCGATTGAGATAGTATCTGTCTCAGTTGCTTTTCTCTCATTGCTGGGACAAAATACCTGGCACCTAAAATTAAGGAAGAAAAGGTTTATTTAGCTTACAGTTTGTGGAGGTTTCAATCCATACACAGCTGGCTCCAAGGCAGAGCAGCACATGACAGAGGGCAGGGGTTCATGGAGGCAGAAAACATCAAAACAGCAAAAGCAAAAGGGAGGAGCAGTAGCAACAACAGCAACAGAGAGCACATCTCTCTCCTCCTCATATTACCTTCAGGCTTTCTGCCCCAGGCTGGGATAGCACTCACATTCATGATTCCAGCATCATTCACACCCATAACCCCAACCTTAAATCATGAATTAGCCACAAACTCTAGAAGTCCATCCCATAACTTCCTGAAGCTTTTGGGGGGACAACTAGACACCAACCATAACAGTATGTAATGTTTCAGAGTCTGGTGCTCAACTCTGACCTTTCAAGCCCCAGAAAGTCATAGCCTCTATCTTGAGGCTTGATCCCAGCCAGCAGCATGGAACATTGGCTCTTCATTTCATCTTGACCTGGCTCATACTAAAGACCACCAGGTGGGAGTTACCAGGGAAACATGTGTGCCATCTTCAAAGACTACCACCAGCACCTTTGCTAGACCAACATGCATTGCTTAAAGCCAATTGAAGGGATAAAGGAAAAGTCCTAGCCAGCTCTGTACATAGCAGTATGTGGAAATAGGGTCTGGCATAGCCAAAATGGAGACAATTGCTCTTCTTTCAAGGAGAGTCACCCAGGTGGTCCTCCACATTGTTAGAAAGTTGAAGTCAGCAAGCCAACATGGTATTGGTGTAACTTGTAAATCAGTACATAGGTCAATGGAAGACAATGGAGAGCCTAGCAGTAAAGCCACACATCTACAGCCAGCGGACACTTTACAAAGACATTGAGAGCACAGATGGGACAAAGGACTGTCTTTTCAGTAAATACTGCCAAGAAAGTTGCATATCCACATGCAGAATAATGAAACTAAATCTCTGTCTCTCACCAGCTGCAAAAATTAACTCAGTTAAATATAATACATGAAACAGTGAAACTACTAGAACAAATAATTGGGGAAATGCTTTAGGATGTTGGAATGCAATGAGTTTTCAAACAAGATCCTAAAAGCCCAGGAGACAAAAGCAAACATGAACAAATGGGATTACACTACAGCAGAAAGCTTCTGTACAACAAAGGGAACTGTCAACAGAGGGAAGGGCAACATACAGAATGGGATGAAATATTTACACAAGATACATAAGGAACTCCCAAAACTCAATAGCAAAATAAAAAAATGAAAAAACTCCAGAATTGATTTAAATATAGTCAGTAGATTTAAACACATACAGTATTTCATAAGTAAGCACATACAGATAGCCAACAGATAGGTGAAAATGTTCAACAACACTTATTATCACAAAAACCCAAATGAAAGCCATAAGGCATTATCACATCACTCCTGTAAGGATGGTTATTATCAAAAAGGTGAATGGTAACAAGTATTGGCATAGAAGTGGAGATAAAGGAACTCTTGCATACTGTTGTTAAAAATATAAATTATTGCAACCACTATAAGAGAAATATAGGGAGGATCCAGCAATTCCAATTCTGGGTATTTATCCAAAGGAAAATCAGCATGGAAAGAGACACCAACATTCCCATATATATTGCAACATTATTTGCAGTACCCAAGAAATGGACACAACCCATCGACTAGATAAAGAAAATGTGGTACCTAGTGGAACACCATTCAGCCATTAAAGATGCAATCCTGTCATTTGTGACAGTGTGGATGGAACTAGAGACCATTAAATTAAATGAAACAAGTCAGGCATAGAAAGACAAGTACAGCATGATCTCTCTCACTCAAGTGGAACACAGCAAAGTTGATTTTGCAAAAGTTGAAAGTAGAATGGTGGTTACCAGAAGCAGGGAAAGTAGGAGAAGGAGAGATGAGGAGAGGTTACCCAATGAGAACTAAGGTGAATGTGTATAGGAGTAAGAAATTCCGGTGTACTATGGCACAGAAGGATGACCCCTTAGATAGCAATATGTGTCTCCGAAAGCTGGAGGAAAGGATTTTAGGGTACTTTCATTGCAAAGATGTTCGAGCAGATAGATGCACTTAACCTGATGGCATAAAATATACATGCATTGAAGCCTGGTGTGGTCATAGGGTATCTCCAAGTGGACAATTTTGTATTTTTGTATCAGCTAACAATGAATCTTAAAATGTTCCTCAGAAAAAGAAACACCACTGTAAGAATCAAACAAGATATTGAATTTTAATCCTTTTACACCCAGTGATCCATTTTTGGAATAGCATGTAACAATGGAAGATAATTAAAAAAAAAACCTTCTTGTCAAATTCTTATTCCTTGAATTTTTCTAGGTAATGCGTATGAATCTCATGGGAAAACTAAAAAAATTACAACCTTCACCATAATAGGGTTAAGATCAGATTGGGTCTGAGCTCAATGTAAAAGAATAAAAACAGGTGATAGTTCTCCTGAATTCTCT